TGTGTATATTAGACAGTTGATCCACAACACCGCATCGGTGACCTTCTGTCTTCACATCGGCTAGTCTTCGATTTTGCCAATGGCTTTAAGTATGTACCAAGACACCAACTTACAAAGAACCAATAACTACTAAGTGTTGTTAAGGTAGAGGAACAGATCAGTGGGTCATCACCAAATCAATAGGTGACCCAACAATCTTATATATGCTTGGGTATCACATTGAGGTCGTTTTGTGGTCGATTGAAGATGTAACATAGTGGTATAACAATGCATCTTATATGTGTTTGGGTATCACAATGTGTCTTGTGTTTAACAGAGTCAATATTTTTATGTATCACATTGGTATCAATGAAGAACGGTGGCCGGAGGACGGAGGACAGAAACCGGAGGACGGGGGACGGAAAGAGAAGAGAGGAGATAGGAGAGTTTTAAAATACCTAAAATGTCCTTATATTAAAATTTTAATTCAGAATTACCAAAATTATAAACTTTCTAATTTATCTATTGATTTGTGGTTGAAATTGGATTTTACGGGTACCACAAACTAGTCATTTCTCCCTTACATTTTAGGTATTTTCTCTCCTCTCTCCTCTCTCTTCTCTTCTCTCTCCATCCTCGTCTTCCGTCCTCCGGCCACCGTCCTCCTGTGATACTCAAGTATATATAAGATGCATTGTGATACCACTGTGTTACATATCCGATCGACCACACAAACAACCTCAGTATGATACCCAAACACATATAAAATGCATTATGATACCATTGTGGTATCACCGGAGGACGGTGGCCGAAGGCCAGATGATGGAAGCCGGGGGACGGAAATAGAAGAGAGGAGAGATGAGAGAAAATACCTAAAATATCCTTCTATTAAAATTTTAATTAAAAATTACCAAAATTATAAATTTCTTAATTTATCTAATGATTTGTGGTTGAGATTGGATCTCAGGGTTACCACAAACTAATTAGTTATCATTTGATTAGGCCCCTATATATACATATATGTGTGTGTGTGTGTGTGTATATATATATATATATGTATGTATGTATGTACGTGGTAATCCTTTGAATAATGGTAACACTTGGAACAATTACATTTTGTCATCAGGAACAAAGCTTCATCTAAGTTTTGGGTCCTTGTTACTTTTTTATATTAATTTGCAAGCACTTTTAAGTGTTCCTCGTCACTGTCTGTTGCTACAGCAACCTTTTCAGCTTTCTCTTTACTTTTCGTGTAGAATTTACTTTTACATCATTTACATTCAGTCATTTCTATTTTATGTCATTTACTTTTAAGCATTTACATTTAGTCATGTTAGGCTAAATACCTTAGTATGGGTCTAAGTGAAGATTGTGAGATTATGCCAAGTGTTGATTGATGTTTGTTTGTTAATAGCAATTTATTTCGCTATTCACAAGTGGTATTAATATTCATCTGGTAATCTTTGATAAATTGACACATTATTTTATTCAGATGAATTGGACTTAMAATTAAGACAATGCAAATATTTTTTACTAAGTGTATTATAGAAGCAATAAAGAGTCGTCGTAATCTTATAGGTTGCAAAACTATATGGAAAGAAAGGCAAGACATGTACTAGTTTGGGATTGATGCATCACCAAGTGCACTTCCAACATATGGTCTAATTTGCACTTCCTTGGAAGGTCGTTCAATTCAGTAGTGTTGTAAAGAGCTATTTATAGAGCAATATTCATACACTTCGTTGCTAAAATCCAACCTGATCTTGCATACATACTATCTTTTAATTATTGTTTCATTTCAGTATTTGGTTATCAATTCTCGCAAAGATATTTTCTCTCTGAAGCTTTATTGCTTCCAAAAACCCTTTTCTGAAATCTCACTTTAAAGTTAACTTTTGTGACTCTCTTTGCATATTAAATCTCTGTGAAACGATATTTGGTATTACTTACTATTATTACTTGYTTTGGACGATACTTGTAAGTCATGTATACTTGCATAATTTACTTGTTATTAAAACCTTTTGAGGGTATAGTTTCCTCCACACCACACGCACATCAGGTCCTTGTGGGGGCGGTACTAATGGCACTTGAAAGAGTAGAGTGCTAGTTAGGGCTCATATAAGACTTAACTTTTGAGGACGTTTTTTGCATCAGATAATGACTTTTAGTGGATTTTAATAACACATGTACGTAACCTTGACTTTGTGAAATGTTTGATTTGTAAATTATTGATGTTAGATCCTAAATTTTCATTTAAGGTAATGCCAGATTTATCCTAGAACCACTGCATGCTCCATAGGAAATCCCCTGAATAGAGTGTAAGTGTTGATTTTTAGAAAGGAATTTATAAATGTGTTATAAAAGTTTAAATTTCCCGTTCCTTTTCTAGATTTTGGTGTGTTACATTTTATATCACTTTTACATTAAATTTGTTTGAGATATATTAATGAATCGTATATTATATGGTAGATATCTATATGTCGTTATAAATAAATTTCATCATATATCTAATATTTTATAACCATATTAACTAAATAGGCCCCAAAGCAATCTTCATAAGCTAAATTGTAAAATAGTAATTTTCATGTACACTCAATTTCCTCATTAAGCCATTGTTTGGCAAACATAAGCAGCTTATAAACTACCTTATATTTTTAGTATACTTTTGGATGAAGATAAACTGACTTATTGAAACGTTAGTTAAAGTAGTTCTTTGAGTAACTTATTGACACTTTTTCTAATTATACTCACTTATATTAATTGTTATTGATTATTAGTAATTAGTAATTAATATTAATTATGGTTTATTAATTAATTACAATTATTAGTTA